TGTATATATTGCATCTATTGAATACCAACCCCGCCACCACCCACACACACACTACCTAGTCATTGGCTATTGCTCTTTTATTGATTTGACTTTTGGTAGTGGCTTTTTCAGTTATTTATTTATGCATGGAGCTGCAGCTGGTCTAAACTCACATTCTCGAGTGTTTCAACGCATTTTTATGGCAAAAGTTTTAGTTGGAGCTAAAGTTTTGTGCCCCTAACACTCCGCTTCTTCTCCAGCAATCTCTCGAGAAATAATCAATTTTTGTTTAGCTTTCTCACATAATCAAATTCTGTTTCTATTGCTTATGCTGGCAATCTTTATTTGTTGTTGCTGTTGTTGTGGGCATTTGATTTGCCTATAGCATAATTTGTGAATTTTCTTTTTCTTCAAATGCAATTAAGCTTGAGTAACATTTGACATTTCACTTTTAATTATCATTGCAGGTAAGCCAAAAAGCCATTATCAGCTCGAGACACAGGTTTGAATGTATCTCTATTTAAAACTGTTTGTTCTGACTTACTGACTGATTGATTGACCGATTGGTAACTGATTGCCCATAGCCCAAGTGCAAACTATGAAGCTGCATTTTTATATGATGTACGGAAAGCTCGCCAGAAAATGTGGAAAATGGAAAACGGTTGCATACAGCTTTTTTATTTTAAATAGGATGAGCTTCAAAGTCAATTTCAGACATCTGAATGTTATCGTTTCAGACTTGTTTTACAATTTTTGGTAAACTGAACATCTTTGTTGCCATCTAGTGGATAAATGGACGTCAAATGTTGCAAGAACAAAAGTTTAAATTCAAAGCCTTGAATGGAACTTGCTGTAATTCATTCGATAAACCTTAAGCGAATTGAAAAATATTCTTCACATTTTAAGAACAAATAATATTAACATTTCGAAGCGAACAGCATGGCCCGTGCAAAGCCGGATAGTACCCGCTAGAATATCTATATGTACCTATACACAAGCCGAAACTTGATGATCTAACTTTCAAGTTGACTCGCCCAGTAATTTACACTAATTCAGCCATCAGGCACTGGAGTAAAGCTGAAAATGTCAAGTACAAGTCGTAAGATCATAAATCTTGCCGCCGCGTACAACAACAATACACACAGCAAATGCCTTTGGACGCGTCATAATTTAACACAGCAGCTATGTGCCAGGACATGCCAGAGGATTCTTGTTATTGTTGTTGTTGCTGCTGCTGCTGCTGTGAGCGTAAAATATAAATGTCCAATTTGCGCAGCGTCTGTGCAACTTTGGCGCCAAATGATTAACTTGATTTATGCGTGTGGCGACAAAAACTTTCGCACCAAACAGCTCCAAGGTACACATGCCACGCCCAATTGCCAGGTGTTGTTTCCTAGGTTTTTGGGTTGCAAAGTCAACAAAATATATATGGAGTATATATATGCTTACATACATATATATATATATATATATATATATATATGTATATATATATTTCGTATGTATATATTTACGCAGCATAAAAAACACATTCGCACACTTGCAATCATTTACGGCAACGGGGCGTTAATTTCCTCTTGCCACTAACTTGCCCTTCTATTGCTACACTTTAAGTCAAGTTCTAACCCCACACAACCCAACATCACTCTACCGACAATGTTTTTGTGAGTGTGTGTGTGCAAAAAAGAACAGGAAAAAATAATTCTCTTTGGCACGCAGGGTACATCAAATACGCTTAAAAGCTATATAGCCGATTATATATTAGGGGCTCGATTGGGTTTCGTCTGGCAGATATGTGAAGATTGAGTTTGGTAGTTTTTGAGTTTGATTAAGATATCCTCAAATGAAAGTTTTTCGTTTAAATTATTATTTCTGGCCGATTTTCTATCGAAATTCGGACAACATATCTCTATTGTTAGAACGCTTTCCTATGGCAGCTATATGATTTAGTAGTTCGATGCTTCCCAGATATGTGACACAAGTATTTACTTAAGTAGACAAACTACAGAGTTGTTTTTCAAAATATGGGTTACATATTTCGTCACAAAAATGAAAGGTATTCAAAAACTACGCATAATTCGTCTAACAAGCGCCATTAGTTGCTTCCCCCCAGCACAGGACTCGACAGCTGGCAAGTTTCTCATCGGTCGCAGTGGCCTCATTTGTTTTAATGTGTCAATTTGTTGACATTGTCCTAACTGTCTATGTATGTATGTATGTGTGTGTGTGTGTGTATATGTTTGGGCTTGTTGCGCATACGCCATGTTGCCGGTCAGGCTGAGTGGCTGCTCTGCTCGGTCAGGTTAAGCAAACGCTCACACCTGTAATCTGTCAGTTGGCACCTTTAATACACGTTTAATGCCAGCTGCCTGCATTGGTGCTAGGGGCGTGGCAAATTTCGTCCACTTTGATTTAACATATTGTTTATAAACTTTGAAAAGCATATTGTTACGCGTTTGTTCCTCCTCGTCGTGTTGCCTTTTTTGCCTAAGTTGGGACCACCAGCGGCTGTTCTGTGGATTTTATCGCGTTTCGCTTGTGGCAAGCATCGCTTCTGCCCCGTTGCTACTGTGGCAACAGTTTTATGGCTGGCAAAAGTTGTTGGCCATTTTGACATATTTCACGCTTTGCTTTTATGCTTCCTGCTTACCGAACCAGGCTTAAGTTTAGGCCTTCTGTTTGTTTTTTATATTTATTATTTGTTCTTTGTTTTTCTTTCCTTATTTTTATTTTTCTGCTTCGCTCATAAAAATTGGTTTTCGATGGCGCTTTGTATCTATGGTCCTTGATTGGTGCTCTGGGTCTGCGTTATTAGCCTCAGTTCTTTATGCATTCTGATTTCTTTAACTTACAAGTTGTGGGTTTGCTGTTTTTAATCCCCCGATGTGCTGCTTCTTATCGATCAAAGAAACAATTGTCAGGACTCTAATATTGTGTTGCCACTGTTATTAAAAGCCACTTATGGCCACAACCTTTCGGCCCCATTTACGGCTCAGTTTGTTCTGCATGTGTATAAACCATTAAATTTTTGTTTATTGAGTGCAAAATGATATTGCCTCACTGGACAGCTTTTTCGAGTTTTGTATTTGTGATGCTTTGTTGGAGCATAAATTGCGGCATTTACTGTTTACGAGCCTATGTACACTCGCGTTGCCATTGACACAGCAGTGCTAAGCTGGCACAACATACTACTTTGATACCCTATAAATATGCTTCTTGTGGAATTTTTTTTATAAGTCTTGCCAACATGCATTTGCTAAAACTGTGGACAATCCTATAAGTATTGGGTATAATTTTCCTTAAGGATTTGAGTTTATGGTGTAGGAATTAGTCTAACTACACAAACTCGCATTAAAAACTTATTACTAAGAATTTGCTAGTCGTGCACTCTAATACATTTTAATTAAGCAGTTGCATGTTTCTCAACTTAATGAAAAACTTAATGCAATGCATTTAAATTACATACATTTAAATGATAAAGCTGCTAGGATATTAAAACTAAGTAAATGCAGCTTATTTTGCCTAAGTGAATGTATAACTTTGTGGTTGACTAGCATTTAGCAGCACGTGAGTTTCATAAAATAGGTCTTGTTTGCCGGCTGCATTACAAAATGCTTCCCCTATTTGGTTAGTTTTCGGGCAGGTGTGCGGGGTGTGCTTAATTGAGTTGCAAACGCCAAAGCGAAACGGTATAAAAAGCTAATTGCTGGCCATTGTTGTTAACGTAATGTTACGTAACGCAAAGCAATGCTCATTTCGTTGCGCAACACTTAACACTAATATGTTGAACAGTCCCAAAACTAAGTAGAGGGCGTGGCACATAATGTGCAGCTTACGGTGATCATCGACGGGCGCTGCAACACCTGTTAGCATTCATTAAAACATTAGAGAGAGTACTAACTGCCTCGCTCTGCCTCCATCACTCCCTCTCTCTCTATCTTTATCTCTCTCTCTCTCTCTCTCTCTCTCCCTCTCTTTCTCTCTTCAATGTGTCTGACATCCTAGTTTAGTGCCGCTCTCCTGGCAACCTATTCACCTTACGCCCTCGCCTTAATTTCATTGTCGCGCCCACATTTGCTGACATGGCCGCCTGCTGGCTCTCAGCTCGCAACAATTTTTATTTTCTTTCGTGTTTGTTATTTTTGTTTTTTTATTTTAGTGTTTTACTTTTTCATCCTGTGCCACGTGGAACGTTTCAGCATCGTAAAAAATTCGTCTGTGCCCACACTTGAGTCACACCGACCGGGAAAACGGGCAACATCCCCTTCCCGCTTGTCCCTGCCTTACTATGAGCTGTGAGTCCGCCTCAGTTTGTTTAGTTTTTTGCGGTTATCCGGCGTTTACATTGTCTAAACGCCCGGGCACGGCCAACAAGCGCACGGGATCTCATTTGGCAGCAGAAGTCTCCCTTCTCACCGTCACTCCATACCACACACCATAGGTAGCTCACTCAGCAGCCCCCACCTATGCCACCCTCTCAGCAACTTTTTGTAGCGCACTTTTTTATGGCATTTTGTTGAGCTGCGCCAGCTCTACTCTCCCCGCCCATAGGTGTTTAAACACCCACACACACACTCACATGTCGAGCAGTACTTGGTGTATGTGTTTCGGTCTACCCCCCGTTGTACATTTAATGGCGTTGATATGGTTTTATGACCTTTGTGGCCTGTTACACATACGCCCCGAAAATTGCATTGTTCGCCTTTTTTCGTTTCGTTCCTTTTTTGTTTTTATTACATTTATTTTATGTTTTTTATGATTTTGTGCTTTTGTTTCTTATGTTTAATTTTCGTTCTGCGCCCACGAAGGACCCATCAATTCTAAGTTGATTTTCTTGTACGCAACATGCGAGTCGAGGAAGGGCGCTGCGAAATCATACCGCATTGATTTGAGACGCGGAAAGCTTCTAAAATGTATTCGCTGCACACTTGAGTTCGTTTAGTTCACTCGGATATTTAACATTTCAACGGTTTTATGCAGTTGAGTGCAGCACATTTGCGAACGCTGTCAACCCCAAACGCAATCACCCCTCCACCCAGTCGCTCGCCTCCAGTATTATTTCTAAAAAACAAAGCCCGCCTTTCGCATTTGCGTTCTGGCTGAAGTGCAAAGCATTTGTAAATAAAAATGCAATTTGATTTCGTTTTGTTGTGCAGTGTTCAATGCTGTGCAATGCTGTTCTGTGTTGGGTTTTGTTTGTCGTCGTATTTCAAATGTGACAAATTGAGTGCCCCAAAGCCTGGACAAACAACACCTGCATGGTATAGGTGTGTCTGTGTGTGTGTGTGTGTGCCTGGCGCGCAAAATTTGTTTGCATTTTTATAAGCATCGTCGGGTTATTGATGCCAGACAAGTGGGCGCATCCACCCCGCACCCACCTTCATCCAAAAACGTATAACCGCAAACAGTAAACAGACACACACACACACATACGGCCAAACTCAACAAGAGCTTTGAATTTTATTCCACTCTTCAGAATGACACTCACGATATTTTCATCAACTTGGTTTTTACTGTATTTTCAAAGAGTTTAAAAATACAAAATTTAAATGCGAGTTGATGATTTATGTTTTAGTTGACAAACATTTATGACACACAAAACAACGCTGGCTATGTTCATTTCTCTTACAAATCAAGCACATTTTGTAGTCTAACATGTACTCATATTTATAAAATTCTCTTTAAAATAATAAACATATCAATAGATTTATATCGTGGCAATCAAATAATGACTTATATTAAGAAAATAAATGAGTTATTTAACGCGCCCAAGGTCCAAGAAGTTGTTAGGTTTGCGGCGTTGTTGATTTATGCGAACGTAGCAGACAACTTTATAAGGAAATTGCGTGACTGGTTAATTGAAATGAGAGCGCTGCGCAGTCAAATGAAGTAGAAATAAAAGATGTAGTTGCAAGTGATAGACCCAAAGACACCCACAGCTAAGAAATTCGAAGGAAATAAAGAGGAAAGAAAACGATTAATTAAATTAATATAATTAATAATTAATATTGAGTTTTAATTCTTATTGAATTATTGAACCTTTATTTAATTAACTGAATTAACTTTAATTGTTTATATAAAATATGCTTTGAAATCCAGATCCCGGAAACTGTAAGCATAAATTACGATTATCTATAGTGTATTATCTACAGTATTCCCAATATATAAATAACTAAGTATGTCTGCCACATGACGCTATATACCCAAAGTGCACCTAGACACATAAGAATAGGTATTGAGTAAATGCCAAAACAAAATACAAAAAAAAGGGAAGCCTGTCAAGGCAGCCACTTAAAGCTGCCCCAGAAAGTAGACTACAGAAACTGGCGCAGACATTTTACGAGCGCATGCAAAGCCCAAAAGGCGAATATGGAAAATACACTCAGGCTGAAACTGGGGGCCGCCAGCTGAGTGAAGTATGCTCCGAAATTCATGAGCCACGAAAACGCATAAATATCCAACTTTGCTTCGTTTTTGTTTTTCTCCACTCGCATTTCTTTTTCCTTTTGTGTGTGTGTGTGTGTGTGTGTAAAAAGCATGGCATTAGCTAAGCAAAACAGAGCCTGTAAGGAGTTGGGGGAAAGTCAGCGAAAAAAGAGCGCACGGCAGGCAATTTTATGAAAATTATGACAATAATTGTCATTAAATCAAAAATGCTCAGTAATTGTCTCATAAATTTACTATGCAAATTGTGTGGCAGCAGTATGGGCAGGGGGGTGGGAGCGCGGCGGTAGGATAGCGACAGTTTCGTGTTGGTCGTCGCAATTTTACGATATCAATAAAAGCGTCGACAATATAAACTCAACTTTGGCTTTTTCGGCCGTATTCTGGCATTGGCATTAAAATTGTATGCAAAGCATATTTCTAGGCGCACGTTCGGCTTTGCCGTCCGTTGCTAGCCACAAAAGTTTTTACGATGCCTCATAAAAGCGACCAGCAACTGGCCCCAGACCAACCCGCCGCTCGGTACTCAGGTACACAAGCACAACAACAGAGTTGCTGTAAAGGATTAGATAAGCTGCGACTTGACTGGCATAAAGCCCGAACGCAAGCCTGAACCCATGCCCGAATCCACGTTGGCTTTTATGCCTATGCACTTGTAGTTATGTGCGCATTAAGAACTGCTTCTACTGCTGGCAGTAGTTGCTTACCTGCGCTTTAAAGCCAACCAACGATTAAAGTGCCGCCCCGCCCACACTGCTGCTGCTGCTGCTGTTGCCCACAAATTTACACACAGGCATGTCGGCACGCCAAGGGGCGGTGTTCACAGGAAGCCGCAAAGTGGCTTTTTAATGCACACAGCAGGCTCTGGCCAGGCCAGGAAATTGCAGCAACAACACCAGCAACAGCAGTAGCAACAACAACAACAATAATATGCAATTATATAAAAATCAGACACGGCCGCGCAAAAAATTTAAATAAAAAAATTTGCTTACTTTGCCTTGCAGCTCAAGCGCTGTGTGTGTGTGCGTGTGTGTGTGTGTGCGGTTTGTTGTGTTAATTTAATTAAAACCGTGGGCGTGTCTGTGGGTGTATGTGTTGGTGTGGCCTGTTATGAAGTGCCAAATTGTTGGCAGTCAAATGCACAACAAAGTTGCTGCAGCAAAATGACGCACAGACAGCATTAACATAATTGAAAATGACGCTGCCTCTTGCCACAAGGCGAAGCTGGCTCAAGGTCAGATTAAAGGCGCAGCGCGTTGAATGTCTGCGTGAGCTATTATGTGCTTAAAAATATGGCAACCGGCTGGCGGCCATTTTGCCACGGATCCCCTGTGTCAAATTTCAAGCACACAAGCAACAATGAGTTGGGTTTAAGTTGTGTTGCAGCATGTGAGTTCACACTATATGCTGCACAGCCTTCATTAATAATTCAGAAAGAGTCAGCACTGAACATTTTTTATTATTTTTTTTTTGCTTCATCAATAGCAAAAACCTGGCATCTCACATACATAAACATATGTGTGCGGCAGAAGGCTTAAACTTGTTAAGAGCTCGAGTGCATTAAACTTGGCTACAAATCTCGTAGAGCAGCAACTGATTTATATGCTTATTGAAGCCTACTGTGCGAAGCTTTATTAATTTACACTCTGGGCTCTTGTTGATGTTGTTGTTATCGTTGTTGTTGCTTCTACTGCTGATGCCCCTGACAGTTATATAAATTATTATGTTTTGCTTTTAGCATGATTGAAATGAAATTAAACTGCCTTTGTCAGCTGTATCGCGCGTGTGTGTGTGTGTGTTGTCTAACAGCTGCCAGGGACATGTGCAGACAACAGCAAAAAAAAAATTAAGATAAACTAGAGAGAAGCTCTTTTAGAGAGGGTGATGTGGCAGCAGGCTTGAACGCTGAAATTTCATTTAGAAAATGAAAATTTACTAAACGGCGCACAAAAAACCAGCTTTGGCAGCAGACAATAAGTGTCACGATGCTGGCTGAAGGGGCGGGAGAGCTAGGCAAGCAAAGTGGATGATAAACATATTTCTTTATAAGCGAAGACACATAACACATAAATTTGTATAAAGACTTCTTTCTATAAGGATATATGTATATGAATATTTTCTTTTACAAATTTTAATCATGCGTGCCTAAGTTCGGCTGATCATTTTTACGGTTCTTTCTATTCTCATACTCTTCTATATACTAATTTGACGAATATATTTTATTTATACAATCAACTAAACCTTTAAGGTATATCCGAATCTGTCTGGTTGTCTGGCTATGGAAACTAACTGTTTAACTTTACAGGCAATATATATATATATAGTTGACGGAGTCAATCGGATTTGATCACTATATGTCTATTCGTTATAGAACAATAGGTCGAGAAATGGAAAGTAAAAAGATTCCTTTTAGTGTTTTATTGATGTTAATTATAATTAATTAGCTGTGTCATCCCAAGCAAATAATATATTTTAATAACGCTAATAAAAGCTGAAGACCTTGAGAAATTTCAAATTTAGTTAAGTTGCAAATTATGTACCTTAATCTCCCCTTCTTTACTAGCTGCTAAGATATAAACATTGTCTAGTTATTGCCAGACTTTTGGATACTTGGATACCGCAACGCGTTTATGTCCTTGTAAGGGCATACAAAATTCGGCACACAAAGTAAAGTGTACTGGTTCATTATCAGCCGTATAGCCACATTTTAAATTTGGTTTTATGTGTGTATTTGACAGCCAAAACCTTTTAAATCCATGTTAACTTGCCTAAAAGCGCAGGTTTTTGGCGCCCATTCATTTGTACATATGTATGTCCATACAGTTCTACCCCTGTGCATATGTGCTTGATTTTAAAAATACTTTTTTATTTAGTCGTGTGCTCCTTGGGCGCTTTATGTCATCAGCAGCTAAGCAGCAAATAAATTGAAAAGCATTCAAGTTCTTTGCATATTCGCCGCCCTTTTTTTGGCTTTAACATAAACTGAAATTATGCTGATTGTTGTGCATGTCGTGAAATGTGAAATTTTAAATGCAAAATATGCGCCATGCGGCGGCATGCGGGGGTATTCGTATTCGCATGAGTGCCATAAGCGGCTTATAGATCTAAGCAGATTTGGCTCAAGCTATGCGGCTTATGGGCCTCTTGCTCACGCACTCACTTTAGTTTGAAATGCATGCAAATTAGCAGTGGCTTAAGTACTAACTGCTCTATCTGTTGCTAGACTATAAGATACTCTTTTAGTTCAATCATAATTAAAATCAAATAAAGCATGCCTTTCGGCAACTCAGGCAAAAAGTACGCAACCACATTTTAGGGATTAAGTAACTGTCAGGACAAATGAAATGCAGCTCCCTCTTTCTGACTCTGTCTCTCTTTCTCTCTCTCTCTCTCTGCGTTGTCCGCAGGCAAATGCAATGGTAGTTTCTCCCAATGCGGCATATAAATGAACTCATTATTATAAAACCATGGACAGTGGCAAAGACAATATTTATGCTGCGTCTTAGGCATTTGCAATTTAAGAATTCTACGAGTATTTTTCATTAATTTCAGCATTTAAATATTTACACAGTGGCACATAATTAATTGCCTGGCGACTTAAGTGGCTACAAAAATGCGTAAATTATGCGAAGCAAGCGACCGGGCGTCGCAATTCACACTTAAAGCTGACAGCCAAGAGGCTGGATGTAGATGGTGATGGGGTGCGGGGGCATTGAATGGCCGAAGGTGAAATTTATGCGCCGAAATTAATTTCATGCAAAAACAATTAAGTTAATTTAGCAAAAGGCAACAGCCAAGCAAAAGCGCAGCACAGCCAGAAAAATCAGGCAAATGAAATATAATAAACTTTGCAGAAAGACTTTGCAGGGGATGGTGAGGGGTGAAACGAGCTGTCAGGGTGTTAAAGGGGTTGGTGAAAAAGGGCTTTAAATTTCCATTGCTATGTGCGTGGCTGTGTGTGGGTGTGTAAGGTGTGAGAGTATGCGTGTAATACAAACGCAATTAAAACACACTCAAGAGGCGCAAACAACAGACAACAGTGGCTGCCAACAGAAACAGACTGAAACGACACCGTAAAACATTTAAATGCCGAATAGACAAGGCAACCAAAAGAGCCAGAGCTGTAGGTCTGGCCTGGGCTGTGGGCGCCAGGGT